AGGCAGAGAACTCAGAATCCTACAGCTACATTCAAGCAACACCATACTAAAAGATCAGCTACCACAGTGAACAAAAGCAGACTATCATACTAACAGATAAATTACAATAAGAAAGAAGTAGTCTCCACTGAACCTGAAGGACCTAGATGACTGCATTCTTCCTATTGCTCTTCTCTCTTAGCCCTACTATTCTTGAACTCCATCCAATCACAATGAGCAGCTCTTAGCACAACATGATCAGGCATCCACACATTTTGAAATTTCCAAAGATTGCGTGACTTCCAAAGCCACCACAAAATGTACGTTGTCAGCTCAATTCTATCCTCTGAAATGACTTTTTTGTCCACTGAGCATACATTCCTCCACCAAAGTTTGAATGAATCAGAAATCATGCCATCCTCCCAACTGAGTGGTGAGAGTTTCCAAATTCTCCTTGCTCTATCACAGTGCAGCAGCATATGTTCCACACATTCATCTTTCTCTCCACAACAATTACATTTGGGATCCACATTTAAGCCCCTGTGAGTCAGATTCAGGCTAACAGCAAGTGAATTAGTGTAGCACTTCCAAATGAAGTGTTTCAACTTCTGCTTCACCTTCAAACCCCAACTTCTGTTTCTGACCTTCTTATCTAGCATCCCAGATTCACTCCCTTCAGCCAAATCAAGCTCTCTGACTTTGTTCAAGACAAGATGGGAGTAAGAGCTTGAAACTGAGAATTTACCTTTGCTATCAATATCCCAGATCCATTTGTCCTCAAGCAGAGGGTCAAGAGTGTGAATATTAAGAATAGCAGCAGTGTCAGATGCATTAAAGCTCTCTTCAATCTTCTTTATATTCCAGGATCTACCATCTTCTGCAATTAAATCATGGACCCAATAAATTGTCCTCTGCCCCACATCTGATTTCTGAGGTAATCCATCTACAACCCCTGGAATCCATGGATCACTCCAAGCTCTGATGTGTCTACCATTTCTAAACACCAACTTGAAGTGATGTTTGAATTTGTCTTTGACCACCAACCAGTTGCTCCACAACCAAGAAACATTATAAGGCTTTTTAGCATGCAAAATAGAACAGTCTGAAAAATACTTCCCTTTGAGAACTTTGGTGACTAATAGATTGGGATTTGAGACCAATCTCCAGATTTTCTTGAGAATGAGAGCTTCATTGAACAGCTCTATGTCTTTAAATCCAAGCCCTCCAGCTTCCTTGGGAATAGTGACCTTCCTCCATTCTTTCCAGTGCACACCTGAGTGTTGTTCACCATTTTTCCACCAAAAATCAGCAGAAAGTCTTGCTATTTCTTTACAGATCCCTTTAGGCAAACTGAAGCAAGACATGGTAAACACAGGAAGAGCACCTATTACTGCCTTCAATAAAACCTCCTTGCCTGCACAAGATAAAAATTGATTTTTCCAGCTCACAAGCTTAGCCCTCACTGCATTAAGAACAAAGTCAAATGACTCCTTTTTAGATCGACCAATACCTAGGGGAAGCCCTAGGTACCTTGTAGACCTATGCACTTGGATACCTCCCAGCATCTGACATATGAGGCTCTGAGTAGAAGACAAGCAATTTCTACTAAAAAAGATAGAGGACTTGTTCATGTTCACTTTTTGGCCAGTAAAGCCTTGATACTTGTGCAGTAAGTTGAGTAACAAGTTTGCATGAGTAACATCAGCTTCACACATCACAATAGTGTCATCTGCAAACATCAAATGAGAGACAGAAGGACTTCTCTTTCAATTCTCAGTCCCTTAAATCTACCTCTGCCCACCTCCTGCTGGACCAGCCTTGAGAACACCTCAGAGATAATAATGAAAATATAAGGGGAGAGAGGATCCCCTTGTCTGATTCCTCTAGATGCACCGAAAAAACCTTTAACTTCCCCACTCAGGCTAAGAGAAAATGAAGTAGAAGAGATACAAGCTTTAATCCATTTGACAAATTTGATATGAAACCCCATTCTCAACATAACTTTGACAACACTCCCCCACTCAATTCTATCAAAGGCCTTCTCCATATCAAGCTTCAATAACATAAAGCCCTTTTTCCCAGACCTAAGCCTATTAAGATAATGCACTGACTCATGGAAAATAATTACATTGTCTAATAGCTGCCTTCCAGGGATGAAGGCAGCTTGATTCTCACTAATGCATTCAGACAGACAAGGTTTAAGCCTCAAGGAGAGAATCTTAGCAATGACTCTATAAGAAACCCCGCAAAGGCTAATAGGTCTATATTGCTTGAGAGAAGAAGGATTTAAGCATTTAGGAATTAAAGAAATGAGTGTATGGTTCCAGCTTTTGAGAAGTTTGCCTGATTCAAAGAAGCTAAAAATAGCTAGGCAAAAGTCATGTTTAATGATGGACCAGAATTTTTGAAAGAAGAGTGGGCTCATACCATCAAGTCCGGGGGCTTTCCCAGGATCAAGACTAAACAAGGCTGCATGAATTTCTTCTTCTGTGACCGGGGAGATAAGGGCCGCATTAAGTTCTGGATTAATGGACTGAGGAATCAAGTGCAAAATATCTGTCTCCCCCCTTGAGCCTTCAGTACTGAATAGATGCTTGTAAAAAGAGCAGATATGATTTTGAATATCTTCTTTTCTGACAGAATTTGATTACTCTCAGTTACAAGCCTTGTGATGGCATTCAACCTCCTCTGTTGCAAGGTTAGAGCATGGAAAAATTTTGTATTAGAATCTCCTTCTTTGATCCATTGAGACCTTAACTTCTGTGCCCAGTATTCCTCTTCCTCCTTTGTGACTTTATCCAATTCTGTTCTCAGCTTTTCCCATTCTGACCAATCCCTCTCAGCACCCTGCTTGCTTAGACATTCCAGCTTTTCATTAATCTCTGATTTCTTCAGCAATTGGGTCCTTCTGAATGAAGAACTCCATTTAAGCAGTGCCAATCTTGTGGATTTAATTTTTTATGATACTTTGTACATTGGGGTTCCCTCCTGCTCAGATAGCCAACCTTCTTTAACCACCTCAGAGACATCAAGCCTTTTCAACCATCGTTAAAAAAAGAATCTCCTGGCTTTACACTCTTGCTTCAGAGGATCCTCATATAGTGCCAATAATCTGTGATCAGAGGAACTTCTAAAGAAATTTTGGACTTCAGCATGCTGGTGATCAATAAGACATTCAAGTGAGACAAATATTTTTTCTATTTTCTCTTCAATGAAACCTTCAGCACTCCTCTTGTTTTCCCAAGTGAAGTTATGGCCCTTCTGTTGAAGTTCATGCATCCCCATCCTGGCTATGAAGCTATTGAATCCCTGGCAATCTCCAACTGATTTCTGCCTTCCTCCCCTTTTCTCACTTGGTTCACAGATTTCGTTCCAATCTCCTCCCAAAATCCACTTAGAGCCCCATCTTTCCTTAGTTGTTTCCAAAAAACCCCATTGCAACACCCTTTCACTCCTATCTGTGCTAGCATAAATAAACACAATCCACACAGTCCCAATCCCCCCATAGACTGCCACCTCCAACTGAATACAAAAATTGTTGCTAATAATCTGCTTAACAACCATATCAGCAGTCCAAAGAACAAGCAAACCCCCACTTAAACCGTGAGGCTCCACTGCATGCCATCTACCTTTAAAACCAATCTTATTACAAACCGACTGAACATACTTATTTTTCTTTTTAGTTTCTGATAAGAAGACAAAATTTGGATGGTGAAGTCGTGATGACTCCTTAATCTGGGAAACTGTAGAGGGTCCACCCAACCCTCTACAATTCCACATTATCAGCTTCATTGGTCACTT